CAAATATTCTCATCAATCCATGTGGATACGATAAAACACTCACGACTCATATTTTCTAACCAATTGGCACCGTTGTCGGGGATTGTTAGTAGAATATTGCAAGAATTGCAATAGATTAGTGATTTTAAGATTTGTGTATTGTGAATCTCTTATCTCTGTAATTCTTTGTGCTTTTTGATCTGTTTAGCTTGTGTGCAGAATTCCTTTATGCGAGGACAAGTCCGGCCTGAAGACCTTCTTTTCAATCCTGAGATTGAAAGAACAGCTCGCCGACTCAACAGTCGAACAAGGCGGAGACGAAAACAAGCTAGGGAAAGACAAGAGCGCGGGGAATCTTCTTCATCCACTTCACCTGATTCACCAATCATGGCAGCTCCACCACCACCACCACCTCCAGCTTCAGTTCCATGTACAAATAGTCTGAGACACAATGCTCAATTTTCACGCAATCTCCAAAATGGAAGGCAATATGAGATGAAAACAGGAATCCTTGCACTCATTTATCAAAATCCTTTCATGGGGTTAGATCATGAAGATCCATTTACACATCTTACCAAATTCTATGAGATTGCGGGTGCAATTGGAGCATCAGAAGCTGATGAAGAGTCACTGTTTAAGAGACTATTTCCTCATTCTTTGATCGGGAAAGCAAATGAATGGTATCTTGATCAGTCTACAACAGTAATGACGGACTGGAATTTATTGGAATAAAAGTTTCTTGAACGGATTTTTCCACACAACGGTTCATGGAAGCAAAGACGACAATCGTTGTATTTTCACAAGGAGTAAATGAATCCCTCAATGAAGATTGAGAGAGATTCAAGTCAATGTTGAGAAAATGTAAAGGACACGGTTTTGATGAACTTACGCAAGTTCACATTTTCTGCAATGGTATCCTCTTGGTTCGCAAAACCTTATTGGATGCTACAGCTGAGAGGGGGTGGGGGGGTGGGGGGGTGGGGAGGGGGTTCTTTGATGTCTAAAAGTGTCGAGGAAGCAATTGCAATCATTGACAAGATGGCGCATAATGACCACCAAGGGAATCATAACCGTGGAGTAACTCAAAGAAAACCAAGAGTGCTAGAGTTGGGTACCAATGATGCTATTCTTGCTCAGAACAAACTTCTATCATAACAAGTGGAGCTTTTGACTCAACAAATGTCGAAGCTTCCACAACAAATCAAAGAGATGCAATAAATTTCTACCAAATTATTAAAATCTTTAGATGGCCCATCACCGTTGATAAATTCGTGGAGTTTCTTTTCGGCACATTGACTAGTCTCTCTAAACCTGATTCTTCCTCACCTAAAGATAAAAAAATTGAATAGTTTATTTCAAGAAAATCACCCAAAATACAATACATATGTAATCAAATTAAAAAATAAACATTAGCGTTTATTTATATATACAATGAGTCAGAAACTAACAAATTTATCTAAGGAATATAGGCATTAATTAGGCAATGACTCACAAATGGTTATCATCAAGCTTATTTATCATTCAATAAAAAGATATCACTTTATCCATGATTCCTACCCATCCACACTACAGGATCATATAATTTTTCCGAAGAAAATTGCATTGCCCGAAACATATCTACAAACATTTACTATTTAACATTATCTTTCCCCTCTTCACAAGGATGATAACTGAAGATGGAAGCCAAGTCATACTTGTAAATTGTTCACAACTATAGATATGAAAGACAAGAAATTAACTTTAACGTCAAAATTATATATTTCAAAGCCTTAGAAACAACCAGAATTTTCATGAAAGAATAAAGATATTCAAACGGTAATTACATTTTCAATTGAATCTTCATAGACATAATTATTTAGATCAACCGATTTTTTAATTGTAAAATAAAATAATAAAATACTATGTACTTCTGGATCAATAATAAAATAATATTTAAATTAGAATGGATGTGCCAAAAATTTTGACGAATCATTTTAAAAAAGAAAAAATATAAGTCTCAGTACTACAACCAATATATTTACATCAAAAATATATAAAATTCAGATGCTAATAAATTAAAATCATAAAGAAATAAAATGTAACCGCACAAATCAGCTATGCAATATCATGTTATATAAGATTTGTTGAATCTTATCAAAATGGAAAACAAATGAAATTCACTCTTAAAATGGGTCTAATCATAACATTGAAGGTTAGTGCTATCATATAACTACGAGCGACGTGGCATAAGACTTAATTTAAGAGAATTAAATATAAAAAATATATGAAGACGTATAAAACAAATCCTCAAGAGATCCATTTCAAATCTCTCACATTGGAGTTGTCTACGATGTGAACAATGTAATCCGTGGTAAGGACAGTGCAAGACCTACAGAGTGAAAATTTTCAATTAGGGTTTTTTTCAATTGAAAAATAGCTTATTTTTTAACCCAAATATATGTGTTTTTACTTTTATTTCAATTAAGAGAGTGTTTTTAGTAAATACAGAATATTTTGGAATAAATATTTAATTATTTTATTTCAATAATAAAAATATGATTTCTTTTTATTTTTTAATTTAATTAAAAAAAATTATTTAGAAATCTAATATTTGAAAAAACACTTTATTTACAAAATTATCACTCTGTTTCTTATTGAAACTAATCAACATGAACATTATGGAGAAGAATAGAATGATTCTCATTGATTAGAAGAGAGTGTACAATGTGTTATATATACAAGAGAATGAAGCTGCACCACACCATGCCACATTATATTGTACCTTAGGATGTAAGTAACAAACTAAAACTAACTTAAACTAATTCAGTTAGTATGTTGCACTTATAATCATATTTCATCTATCTCTTCATGAGTATCATTTGCATACTTCAATATCCCGACAAAGTTGAAGGGTGATAGATGTCTCTCATTTTCAACTTGAGCAATAAGGAACTGAAAAGTTGAGGATGTAATAACTTGGTAAACAAGTTAGCAAGTTGGTCTTTAGATTTGACAGGTAAGAGCTTAAGGACACCTTTACTCTGCTTCTCTCGAACAATGTGACAATCTATCTCGAAGTGTTTTGTCCTCTAATGAAAAATAAGATTAGAGGCAATGTGTATGATACTGTTATTGTCGCAATAAATCACATGTGTCTTATTGCATGTGATGTGGAGATCTTGCATGAGATACACAAGCCATTGGAGCTCACAAGTGGCTGGTGCAAGAGCTCTATATTCAGTTTCTGAAGATGACCTACAAACTGTAAGTTGCTTATTTGTGCACCAATTGGGGATATTTTAGGATATTACTCATCTATTAAATTCTATATGGTGTTCAATAATAGAATATATGTTGTTGAAGAGTCTATGCATATAGCTTTTGATGAAACCAAACCCGAAGAGACGGGGAAGGGTAGTTCTAGTTTTTATGTTCTATGTGTGTTGATAAAAGATTTGATAAATGACGACGATTCAAAAGTGGATCCTTCTAAAAGTAGGGACATTAAAGATGATAAAAAGAAAAGCAAATAAGAGGATGATAAACAAGGCACCTCAATAAAGCTATTTCAAGATTGACTTCATAATTGATTAGACTAATCTAAAAAATGAAACCCTAATATGATATGTATCTTAATTAATGAAAGAGTTTCATAATTGATTAAGAGCCAAACTCGCTCCTTAATCGTTTAGATGAAATAATCGATTAGGTAGTGAGTATAATTTTTCTAATTGATTAGAATTGTTTCTTAGTTAATTTAGCACTTTTCAATATTGGTTATTAAAAGAGTTGAGAAAATGATGAAGAGTTTAAAGAGATTTTAGTGCGTGTGTACATCGACTTAGTACTTCAAGACTTACTCTTTCTTAAATTACATACAACTTGTCAAATACAAGATAAACACACTAAGCATAAGATTAGACAAACTTTCTTACCTTTAATTTCTTTTGTTTGATTGGTTTGACTCATTTTAGAGGAACTTGGATACTTTGCTTTTAGCTTGTATCTTAATTGATGATACTTGTGATTTAACTTCTTTTTTTCAGTTGTCATCGTCAAAATCTTAGAAGACTTTAACCTAATAACATATAGAACCACAATTTTCATGAAAGAAGTAAATATATTGAGATAAATTGTCATGTCATACGAGAGAAAATTCAAGTCAAGCTCGTTCATCATCTTCTTGTCAACTCTACATAATTGGATATTCCTTTTATAAAGCCTCTTTATTCTTCATCATTCTTTTTCAACTTGTACAAATTAAATCTATACGATATCTATAGTCAAACTTAAAGGGAGAGGTTAAAGTTAGAATTGGTTGTCACTTGATCAACAAGTTAGTTGCTTAGGCTTTGTAATAATGGATTAATTTGTTATTAAGTTAGTTAGTTTGTTCTGGTTTTAGCAAACAATTAGTTACAATTAGTTAGTTAACTATTTTGCTCAAGCTATAAAGAGAAAGTTCTCTATTGTAATTATATATGTAACACATTCATCCGTTTTACTTTTTTTTCTTCTAATAATTGTGAGTTTTTCAATAACAAGTTAACAAAGATTAATACGAGTGTGTTTGAATTTTAAGAGATTATCATCCCTTATTCTATCTACTATCTACCAATTTTTTTTAATGTGTATTAAATATTAAAAATCACAATTATTTCTATGAACAATGAAGCAAATGGAGTATAATTAAAGTGATCAAATATTATGCAAATATTTATTAACCTCTTAAAAAGATTATTGACGGCATTATAATGTTTGCATATTCTACATTAACCTCATTGCATTGGATTCCAATTCTAATTTTAATGACATAATCTTCATTGATTGACAACACCACTGCACAAGGTTCACACTTCACACTTTTCCATAACGGCTACATTTTCGCACAAAAAAGTCGCACCAAAACCCAAAAAAACGACAAAAAAGAGATTCACACTCCTTTATTGCCAGATCTTCCCTTTTCAGCAGACCGTTACACTTCCCTTCTTCATAAACCCCCAAACCCATTTCATTTCTCTATTCGCCTCCGCCGTTTCATCATGACGGTCGCCGGCGCCGCCACTGCACGAACCAAGCGGATCTTCAAGCTCACTCTCTCCCTTCTCGGCCTCGGCTTCAACTCCTCCAAATGGTACGTACGCCTCTGCATTCTCTTATCTTTCTCTTTGATTCAATGAATTGGGGTTTTGAAATAGAAAGACGGAATGTGATTTTTTTGTGATGTCGTTTTGCAGTAAAACGGCGGCGAAGATGGCGGTGGCGAGGATTAAGCTTCTGAAGAACAAGAGGGAGGTTGTGGTGAGGCAGATGAGGCGTGACATTGCGCTTCTTCTTCAGTCTGGTCAAGATGCCACTGCTCGTATCAGGGTAAATTTGCACACTGCTGGTCAATATGCTAATGAATTGTTGAAATTTAATTGGGATTAGTTGTAGTTGTTTTATTTTTTCTGTTCATCCTGTGGATATAGCTAATGTTTATTAAAATTGAAAAATGAAACTTGTTATGTTGGAAATAGTTGTGATGTCTTTTTTGTTTTGTTTTGGATATTAGGATGATTAGTTTGTGATTTTCTTATGAAATGATTTTGTTTGATTATAGGTTGAGCATGTGATGAGAGAACAAAATGTTTTGGCTGCAAATGAGTTCATTGAGTTGTTTTGTGAATTAATTGTGTCCAGACTCTCTATTATTGCAAAGCAAAGGTGAAGTTTATTGAATTCGTTTTAGCATTATGAAGGTAGCATACTTGAAATTATAATGCTAATCTGACGTATTTTGAGACTTGTTTCAGGGATTGTCCGGCGGATTTGAAAGAGGGAATTGCTAGCTTAATATTTGCATCCCCTAGGTGCTCAGAAATTCCTGAACTGGTGTCGCTTAGGAAAATATTTGAGAAGAAGTACGGAAGGGATTTTGTATCTGCTGCTACTGATCTTAGGCCTAGTTGTGGTGTGAATCGCCAGGTAAGTTTTCTTTTGATTACATTTTTTCTTGTGTTTGCTTATAATGAAGTAAGAATTGTTTCAGATTTGGTGATGGTTAAGCGTTGTTTGTATAGTAGTTATCTCCTATTAATTCTCAAAAGAATTCACATAAGTGCTTGTTAATTGCAATGTCTTTTAGTTGATTGACAAGCTCTCAGTACGCACACCTCCTGGTGAAGTAAAGTTGAAAGTATTGAAGGAAATTGCTAAGGAACATCAAATTGATTGGGATACTGCAGAATCTGAAAGAGAGCTTCTTCAGCCTCCAGAAGAGCTAATAGTATGATTTCTTTCTTGATTAACCTATGTATACCATCCATTTTCTATATGTTTTTTCTGTTTCTTTCTTTCTTATGCTATCCTAGTTTTTCATTGAAAATTTGACTCATCTCTACAGGAAGGGCAACGCACTTTTGTCAGTGCCAGCACCTTACCGGTGAAGACTTCAATAGATGTGTCGATTGAATCAAATAAGCAGCAATCTATAAGGTGAATACAACAATACCCTGTTGCAAATGTCCATTATTATGTTTTTATTTTCTGATGGAGTTCTGCGATGATTCATCAGATTATCCAGCGGCGGAAATAGTGATGCCATGTATTTTGAAGATTCTAAGTCTGCTGCTGAATCAGCAGCTGAGTCAGCAAAGAAAGCAATTGCAGCTGCTGAGGTTGCTGCTTATATGGCTATGAAGGACAATAATGAAGCCTCTCAACCATATTACAATGATAAGTTCTATAATGATCCTGCAAAACATTCCCAGAATATGACTCATAAATCAACCACTGAGGACAGAGTGCATAGGTCACATAGCTTACCAAGGTCTGATCACATGCGCAATGAGGATACATTGCCGACCCAATTGTATGATGGAAAGGAATATAGAAGACACAGCTACCATCCAGCTTCTGCACATTCAGATATTAAGTTTGATGAATCAGATTGTGATGAAGAAATCGAAGCAGAAGAACCTCCTCCGGTTACTTTGCCACCTCAAAGGCTTCCACCACCTGTACCTTCATCTCTAGTTAAACAAGATTCCAGCACTCGTGTTCATCCTAAATTACCAGATTATGATGAACTCACTGCTCGTTTTGATTCGCTAAAATTCAAAAAGTCGCAGTTCTGAACCCACTTTGCCACCTCAAAGGCATCCACCACCTGTACCTTCATCTCTAGTTAAACAAGATTCCAGCATTCGTGTTCATCTTAAATTGCCAGATTACGATGAACTCACTGCTCATTTTGATTTGCTAAAATTCAAAAAGTCGCAGTTCTGAAACCAACTGAGCAATATATTCTTTGTAATTCATTCATTTATATATATATATGTAAGATACCATAATTTGTACTATTCAATAATATTCTAGCACTGATTTTACTTCTTGATTAGCACGTTTAAGAAAATGAAATAACGAGTTTGTATTGGCACTCTAACTCATATTTGTGATTGGTTTGTTCCCTAAATAGAATATTAGGTTACATGTTCTTAAAACATCAATCAACACTTCACTGGATCTTATAAGTCTCAATGCATATAATTGTCCTCCGTTTTAAAGTTACTGAAAAAATAGTTTATTTTGTTAATTCCAGGCTGTTTCTAAATGAATTTGTATAGCGTGCCAAAAGATGGTAAATTTTGTGGAACATGCTAAAATACATGCATAGCTCTTGGCCACATGATAACTGAATTGAATTTGTGATGTGTTGGTGGATAATTATCTTAACTAAAACTGCAAATACATGTATTTCGACTCTAATTTCATGTAATTCGTATTTAAGATGTGTTTTGGACTGAGTCGAAATCTGCCCCACAGTCCAGTAGACCCAACTCAATATTACGTTAGGAAGGTCCAACATGACCCAATCCTCCTCCACATCGAGCACGTTTAATAATGTCGTTGGACAGATCACTACTTAGCACGGGGAGAGCTAACGCGTCTTCCCCACGTTCTCCACGTGTCCCTCACGCGGGGACACGTTATCAAACAACTACCCACCTCCGAAAGAGTTGGTCAGTCCACCTTTCGAAGATCACGGGGCAGTTGATCCAGGGCGAAGACCACGTGTTGGTATTCCCTATGCCACGTAAGCTCTGACAATTACTCGTATTGGGCCTTACAATCCAACTCAATGCAAAGTAATCGTTGACCCTTCGCCGAGGGCACATTATAAATACCCTCTTTCACTAGAGGGTCATGTATTCTAAACTCTACACCTATTTTATGTACTTACTCTCTCTAACTCTGTTACTCACTTAAGCATCGGAGTACCTTGCAGGTACACCCCTCCTCCTTTTCAACGCCGATGAACACAAGAGCTCACGACGCGTGGCAGGCCGCTGATTCCTTTCTGATCAGGTGAGATCAGTGGCGTTGTTTGTGGGAAGCCTTTTCTCCCTCGTTCGTTCTCTTATACAAGCATAGAAGCTCAAGAACGAAAGCAACATTCAACTTTCGTTTGATCATGGCCAGCCCACGCAATTATAACGCTCCAGAAACCACCTTCGTTCCATTCACCAACGGTGACGACCACGACCCCAATGTGACCGTTCAAGTCGAAGAGGGCGACTCCAGGGACGGGCACACAACCTCTCCCTCCTCGGAAGACGCAACCTTCAACACCTCCCGACGCTTTGATAGCCCGACTGTCTACCAGCCAATTCCGGTGCCTCCCAACGCCGACCCAACCATGGTGGATCTACTCGCAGCGATCAACCAGATCAATCTGATGATCTTCCAGCAGACTGAGCGCATAGGCATCCCTGAAAGACATCATCCAGGAAAAAGACGAACCTCTTCGGGATTACATAGAGAGGTTTAACCGAGACATGAAGAAAATCCTGATCAAGCGAGGAGTGACCTCGCACCGACTTTGTAAAGGCCGTCGGGATTGAAAGACCCCGCACCTTAAACGCCCTCCTCTTTAAGGCCCAATCATACATCCAGTATGAGGAAATAGAGGCCGCCCATTGAGCCCGCGACACGCGGAATCAAGAAGGCGTCAGGGGCACCAGGCACGAGGATACCGCTGCTCCTCGAAAAGGCGGGGAAAGAAGAAGAGAGGACCGGCCCCGAGAATAGAGGGGGCTGTTGCACCCTAAAATTTGCTCAACCTTTTCCTACTTGGTTTATGTTTCATTTGCATTAACATTTGCATAGTTATATCATTTGCATATCATGATATCATTCATATAGAAGGGGATCAAGTGTGATTCTTATCAAGAGGAGCCTAGCAAGAGGTTTTATTCAAGTTTAAGAAGTTATCAAGGTCATCAGGAGGTGATTTGAGTACCTGAGGGCTTAGATATTTGCATGTAGATTTTCTCCTAACTTGAGGATCAATTGAAGACCATCAGAGGGATGTGAAGTGTTGAATATGAGAAGAGGATGTGTATGGAGCTCATAGAATGACTAGAGGGCCATGGGAGAGCTCAATCAAGTCATTGTGTCAAATGCAAGAGCCACGGTTGAAGTGAGAGCAATTAGGGTTTCATCTGGGTCAATCCTAGGTCAACTGTGCAATTGAAGAGTATCAAAGACTACTTTTAGATCATGGAGTTCATGAAATGATATGATGAGACATTTGTGGTGTTGTGCCAAGATTAAGTCAAGAAGAGTCAAGAGTGTGGGAAGTTGCTAAATTAGGGTTTCAGTGTAAAATCCCTTGTTTAGTGCCTAACTTCAAGATCACATAAGTCGAGATAAATGTTTCAAATGGATCCTTGGCCAACATGAAACTTGTATAGAATCTCAATACCTTTAATTTGAGTACTAGAAGTCCTCCATTGGATCTATAGAACTCAAGTTATAGTCCAGACAAGTTACAGGTCCTCAGATGCCTCTGAAATTTGTCTGTGAAAATCATCTGACTTCAAAGCTATTTTTGACCTAGAAGGAGGTTTCACATTAACTTTTTTCCAACATGAAAGTTGTTCCTCATGATCGTAGCTTTCCAAATTGTATTAGAAGTCTTCCATCTGATTTGTAGAACTCAAGTTATGAGGTTTACAAGTCAGGGGTATTTTGGGAAAGTGAGATTATAGGCCATTTTCAATCATAGGTCAAAATCTCCAACTTGCACTTGTCAAATGGATTTTTGTTCAACATGGAACTTGTTCAAAATGTGGTTTTTAGGCTAACCAAGAAGTCATGATGAATTGATTTGGCTCATATTAAGATTTGTTTTGAAATGGCTTTAAAAGGAAGATTTTAAAAGGATTCAAAGTTGAAAAATTCAAATTAATGGTTGAGTGACCAAAACATGTCAAGTAAATACTCATTTTGAATGGAAATATCATTTCAAACACAATGACATTGGTAGGTTTTTGAGTTGAGGCAGATTTTCATGAGTTACAATGTTGTTTCTTCACAAGCAAGTAACATAACCAAATCACATACCAAGGCAATTCAAGTGTTCCTTTTGGTCCCATTGTATTCACAAGGCATTTTTCAATTGAAAAGTAAGCTTCTAGAGCAAGTTCCATGGCCAATTCACGACTGTCACATGGAAATTTTGAAGAGAAAACAGAAAATTGGAATTACTGATTCGGGCTTGGATTGGACTAAAAAAGCCCATAGACACACTCTATATAAGTCATTTGATGATTTAAGACTCAGTTTGGTGCTCATTTCGTGGTAGAAGCAGAGAGAGAAAGTGAATTTGCAAGCAAGCAAGTGCAGATCGGGTTTTGAGTTCAAAGCAAATTCAGATCAAATTGAAGGTTTCTTCATCTTCCTCTTGCATCCTTGAGTGATTCTGGAAATTTTTGAAGGCTGAATCAAACTCTAGCTACCTCTGTTCATAGATCTACATCAGGTATGTACTTTCCAAATTTCCATGGATTCTAGCATGAGTTAGTTAGAAATTAACTTGTGGTTAAGATATAGTTGAAGTGCGGATCGTTTCTGGTTAAGAATTGGAGCAATTAGAGCCAAACTTAGGTGACATGTGATTTCTGTTTGAGCACGATTTGATCTGGTCATAAGGAATTAAGATGAATTGGATAGATCAGGTTGATGTATGAAGTATGAGGATCATTCCTATGGTTTTAGATTTGAGTTTAGTGATGATCAATCCTGAGGTAGCATTTCTGTTTGCCTTCGAATTTCAAAACCTAGCCAGATCTAGAGGAAGTGGATGAGATTTTGGAGATCCTTGTGAAATTCTGATGAATTTGATATAAGATTTGATGTTGTTTGGTCGCCTGTAACCACGACCTCGCCGGAGAAGACGACCGGAGGTCTTCTTCGGCCACCACACTGAGTTTCCCTCCGTTTGACATTTGAATTGGGGACGATGACTGATGACCATCAGATCTTGTTGAAGATTGACTTGTTATGCGCATCGTGTGGCTTGCATTTGATCTGAGGATTTGCCTCCAAAACCAAAAACGCAACGTTTTATTAATCCCAGTCAGCGTGTGACTGGGATGCTTGCGTGGACGCGCTCATTGCTCTTGGATCTGATTACTTTGTCAAACAATCCAACGCTCATGACATTTTCCTGGTTTTTAATTTCTTTTATTTCATTTTTGTATTATTTTAAATGCATATTGATTCCAAAAATCATAGAAAATTCATCTTTGATCAGAAAAATATTTTAAAAATATGTCCATGCTCCTCTTTCAATTTTTGATTTTCTGGGATCAATAAATTGCATTTTCATGCATTTTTCAATTTAATTTGCATTTCCTTTTTTTTTGTGTCATTTCTTTAATTTTGCATATTTACCTATCTGTTTTGTTGATTTTGGTTTGATCATTTGTTTTGGTTTCTGGATTTGATTTTTGAGTATGTTGTAGTTTAGATGTGCATGCTCCCTTAGGAGTTTTATTAGATTTTTTTAACAATTGTAGGTTCTGTTTTAGGTGAGATGTTTAGAGCCTTCCCAAATTATGGTTTATCTTGACACAATTCAACTTAGGATTTATTTAGTGGACCTAGAAGTTGATTTAGGCTTTGATATTTGAACCCTAGAATGTTAAAACATGCATGTTCCCTTAGGAAATTTCTTAGATTTTTACAACTTAGTTTTCTATTTTAGATATAATTCACAAGTAGGTGTTGCTTTTAGTGTTCCTTCTTTGGTGCCTTTCCTTGTTTGATCTTGTTGGTGGCTTTGGAGCTT